TTTCGTTTTTAAAGTGTCATAATCTGCTCTATGATTTTATACTGTCCTGTACAGGTTATGCTATTGTGCATTATGATATAGTACATCATTAACATGTACTTGTTGCCGTCCTTCTCAGGAGTGAACCGTTTATAGGATTCCAAGACCAGACAAAGGATGAAACACATGCTCCTTCAGAACTGTGGCTACGCGTTCCTGAGCCGATCCCTCGTCTTCTCCTTCGATTCACGCTTCTCGCCTACCGCGTCGCAGCTGCTTTCCGGCCATGTTGATGTTCACAAGGCCGGCGGGAGAAAACAACTGGTTTCACAGTTTAAGGTTCGGGCAGGATCCATGTTCCAAGCTCTAAGGGCTACACCGTAAGAACCCTGAAGACAAGGCCATATAGGCCTTTTTGTCGAACCCAAAACGTCGAACACCCCCAGAATTGCATATTGTTTTCTGCGTTACAGCTTGAGAGCATCATCCTGCTTGACTGTTGCGGTACTCATACTGTTTTCTACCGAGGTTTCCAAGTACTACCACAAGAGTGGAACGTCATTGTTCCACGTATGACTTTCTCGACTTTCTCCAGCAACACAATGCTTTGGAGTTGCAGAACTGTTTGCTGCTCTAAGAGTCTTGTGAAAGCCAGAAATAGAAATGGGGGAACCGTGCCTACCATAGTCCATAACATTGGCCTCACAACACTACCTGCATTCATTGCCACCCTCCTTGCACCCCAAGTCCTCAAAACCATAAATCTGGACATAGTAAACCATTTCCAAAGCCCTTTTGGAAGCCCTTCCAGAATCCTTGGCTTGTAGTCCCTAGACCCTAAACCCTTTAAGACTTGTGGCAACTCCAAGCTGAATTGAAGCTCCATGGCGCAAGGCTCTTCTCACGGCGCCTCCTCATCAAAGCTCGGCATCACGCCGCAGCTTGGAGGACGGCAGGAGGTTTTAGGGTTGAGGAGCCATGTTAACAGCAGAAGTTGTAGCAGCAGCAGCAGCAATGGTTGGAGCCGTAGTAGCAGTAGTAGTAGTAGTAGTAGGAGGAGGAGGAGGAGGAGGAGGAGGAGGAGGAGGGGGAGGAGCAGGAGTAGGAGTAGTAGTAGGAGTAGTAGCAGGAGTAGGAGTAGGAGTAAGAGTAGGAGTAGGAGTAGATGTCGAAGTCGGAGTCAGGAGTAGGAGTACTAGCAGCAGCAGTAGCAGTAGCAGTAGCTCAGTAGCAGCAGTAAGAGTAGTAGCAGTTGTAGTAGTAGCAGCAGTAGTAGTAGCAGTAGCAGTAGCAGTAGCAGTAGCAGTAGCAGTAGCAGTAGCAGTAGCAGTAGCAGTAAGAGTAGGAGTAGTAGTAGTAGCAGTAGTAGCAATAGTTGTTGCTGTAGGAGGAGTAGTGGTAGGAGTAGTGGTAGTAGCAGTAGTAGTTGTTGTTGCTGCTGTTGTTGCTCCTGCTGCAGCTTCAGTCGTAGCAGTCGCAGCAGTCGTCGTAGTATCCGAAGCCTTCGACGAAGCCGTAGTAGTATTCGTAGTTAGGAATACTTCTACTGTTACTGGCACTAGTAACTTGGGGACAGCTGCGAAAGAACGAATAGGGGAAGAGGAGGAAACAGAAAAGGAGGAACCAGAACCAGGATGGCTCGGCAACAAAAAGCAACAGTTCCTATATGGGGGTTTCCGAAAATAGGGGACCCTAATATAGTACCCTAAATAGTAGGATCCTTATGATAAGGACCCCCGAATAAGGTACCCCTAATTATTTTCGGAAACTCCCATATCCTTCGCGGTCATCCTAACCCCCAAGATGCAGAAAATTTAAACCCTAAACCCTAGAGATCAAAAGCAAAGACAACCGAAGCCCAACCCCCGAAGCCCGAAACGCCTAAGAGGATCTCCTTGACTTCACTCGCCGCGAAGGGGGGCCCAAAAGCCTGGCAAAGTTACTGTGCTCTTGGTAAGGAGCTAAATCTAAGTTGCCGGGGATTAAGGGTTTAGGGTTTGTTACCATCGTAGGGATCTATAGTAAATTATTTACTATAATATAGCTTCTGAATCCTTAGTCTTTTAGCTTACATCATTACATCAAATCCCTCAACAAGAACCCAGGTTAATGGTCATCTACCAGGGCCGGGCGCGGCGGAAGGAGGAGCTCGTTGCCCAGCTCTTTTTCTTGAGCCCTGGCCAGATTTTTTAATCATCAACTTTAATACAGGGGCCTTAATAATTAGAATAGGGAATAGGGCTTTCAAGGGATCCTTAAAGGTTCTAAAAGGGATCTGTAATAGTCTATAATAGGGTTCTATATAGGGTCGCTTGCTGGTTAGAATCGGGTTTTGTGGCTCATTATACAACAAATGTAATAAGGAACCACCAAAAGGGTATGGGTAATGATTTAGGCCCCTTTGTTAATAGGTCTTACCTAGAGTAAGCAACGTACCTTTTAAAGAGGGGATAAGGCTTGAACAACGGTACATTTACTTTTCCTGAGGTTACCTTGGTGACTCTACTTGGAGGTTCATGGGTAGTTATAAGTCGGGTTATAAGTAGGGCAACTATACTTATATCCCATTTTAGGGGACTCAAAAAACCCCACTTATAACTACCCCTGAACCTGCAAGTAGGGAGGGTTCAGGGTTTGGGTTGATGCTTGGCCAGGCATTGATAAAGGGCCGTGTTCTTGGGACTGTATGCTCAGGGCTCTAAGGTTTGATGGGGCTTGCGGTTTCTGGGGCTTAGGGCTGTAGGATTTAAAGCTCAAAGGTCTGTGGTGCAAGGCTTTAGGGTTTGGGGGTAAAATTTAGGCTTTATGCTTTGAGGCTTTAGGGTTTCGATGCAATCCTGAGTTGCAGTTTTCCCTAAGGTTCCCTTTAGGCTTTTAGGCTGTTATGCTCGGAGTCCCAAGTGGCAAGGGTGTTTTTGAGGTTTAGGGGTTTAGGGGTTAGGGATATGTAGATTCTAGATGTGGCTTTTGATAGTGCTTGGGTACGTGACATCACCGCGAAGCTGGTGCACAAAAGGGTTCACAACTCTGCCCCACTTAGATCTAGAGGCCGCGCACCATGAAGTGATTGCTAGCAGCTTCTTGCAGGTATCACTGCCGCGTCGACAAGCCGCTCGGCCCCTTTACTACGGTTGATGATATAAATCCTGCATTACCTTGAGGACCCTAAACTATGGGAATTATGGTATATTCCTTATTATGGGTAATGCAGGAGTTATATCATCAACCGTGTCACTCCCGAATCACCACCTGAACGCCTCAACGACAAATGTCCCTCGAAGCTCAAAGGTTGAAGCCCAAACCCCAGAGCTAGCGCAGGTTTAGGGAAACTCGACAACACTACGATACTCTGGACCCTCAAACTCTCAAGGATAGGAAACATGTTGAAGAAAAGCCAAAACCCCAAACCCCAAACCATAAACCCCGAGCTATGGAGCCTGAACCCTGAATCCCTTTCCCTTAACCCTAATCCGCAAAACCCGGAATGCCAAATCGCAGAGGCAGCTGGACGCCGGAATTCTGCGCATACTCATAGGACTCCTGGGGCTAGAGATGGGTCACAGAGGCCCGGGCATCACTGGTGCTTCTGGATTTCGCTGGAGAGTCTCGTGTTTAGGTTATAGTATTCAGGGGTTAAGGGTTTGTTGGAGCTAGGGTTTCAGTGTTTGGCGTTTTGAGGTTTAGAGTTTCAGGGTTCAGGGTTCAGAGCTTTTTCGTCATTGGACACCCGAAACCGTCAGACCGGACTTCCAACCTAAGCCCCCGAGCTCCAGAAATTCTGACAACCCACTTCCACCAGCCTCGTGGCTCTGCTCTCGAACCAAAAACTGGGTATTTAGTTTAAGTTACTGTTGATGGACAAAATCCTGCATTGCCCATTCTAAGGAATAGACCATAGTTCCCATAGTTTAGAGTCCTGAGGGTCATGCAGGATTTTGTCCATCAACAAACTGGGTATTTAGTTTAAGTTACCACAATAGGGATCTATAATAAGGGTTCCTGTAAAGCATCTATAAGGGTTCCTTAAAGGGTTATAAGGAATTTGGTTCAAGTTACCATAATATTGGGTTCAACAGCAAATAATATGGCTTCCTTATTATAGTGGTAACTTGATTTAAATTCCTTGACCCTTAAAGGAACCCTTATAGATCCCTGTTATGGCAACCTCAATTATATAATTTTTTTTTAACAAGAACCCAGAAGAGGTCCTGTCCATGACCCTGACGGATTGCTTCACGAAGTTGGCTCGTCTGGGGCTTCCTGCATGGGTGTATCGAGTGCCTTACATGCAGAAAGATAAATGTCCCGAAGAGTTTAGGGTTTAGGGCTCTTCGTTTGCTCTGGGGCTTGATAGGGCGTTGACGAAGAAATCGCACACCGTTCATGTCGCCCGTGTGCGAACATAGCCGAGCCTTCAAACCATGAACCTTATAAGCCCGCACACCCTAAACCCTAAACCCAACCTGCATCCTGGACCCCAAACCCTAAACTCCTTAACCCAATACCTAAACGGGAAAAAGGTGTAGGGTTTAGGGGAAACGTCTGGTATTCCCATTTCAGGTTTGGGAAGTGCGAACAAGTCCACAGCATCCGGCACGACGCAGACCACGGCGGAGCGCTTGCGACGTCGCGCCTGGGCAATGCTGGCCTGAGGTGCAGGCTTTGGGTTTGGAGTTTTGGGGTCCGACCCCCAAGCCGTAAGCCACAAGCACCAAATCTTAAACTCTAAATCATCGAATGCAAACCCTATAAGCCCTACATCCTGGAACGTGAGTTAAACCCCAGACCCGAAGCCCTAAACCGGGGCTGCCAGAGGGAGTTGCACTCGTTTTATGTGCTCTTCTTCAAGGCGCTCGTTGTGTCTCAAGAACCTGGGACGCTGATCATACAGCAGAAGCCAGAAAGTTGGAACATGAGTATCCCCATGCCCGAAAGGCAAAGTATGGGGAACCCCAGCCACGACACCTAAACCTTGAAAACCCTGAACCCTAGACCCTAAAGCCAACCAAGAAACGTTCATCGTCCTTATCTCATGTTCCAACTCTCCTGGGGTTTACTGTATCCTGTCATGCCAGAAAAGTTGGTGCTCTTGCCCAAGCTGGTTTCTCCGGAGTTGCAGAAGGTTTAGGGCTGTGGGCTTTGGGTTTTTGGTTGCGGGTTTAGGCTTCAAGGCTTAGGGTTGAGGGTCTCGAACTTAAGGTTTAAAGTTTATAGGGTCTGCCACAAAACGATGTTAAACATCGTGCTTGTACAAGGCTGGAGCAGGGGGATGCATTTAGAAGAGCCCCGGGCTGTCCTCAAACCTTCAAACCCTAGACCCTGAACCCCAAACCCAGAACCCCAAACCCTAAACCCTGAACCCTGAACCGTATCCCCTGAACCCTGAACCCCAAACCCTGAACCTGAACCCTGAGCCCCCTTGTCTGGCGGTTGCCTTGCAGGTTGCCCTTGGGTTCAGCCTTTCGAACCTTTGCCCCAAACCCTATACCCTAAAGCCCAAAATCCTAGACCCTGAACCCTCTCTCGGTGCCCCCCCCCCCCCACGTAGCTCCACTTTTCGTGTCTAGGCTTTGGAGATTGTGGTCTGGATGGAGCCTAGAGAAGGTCTACAGCTTGGGGTTTGGGGATTTGGGGAGTTTAAGGCATGGTGTTTGGGATGTTGGGCCGAAGGCCCACAACACATCGTCCCCTGGGTTGTCTAGCCCGCTGGTTAGACGTGCAACAAACGTCTGGAAACGCCCCTCAGGCTATCAAAAACGTGTTCGGAGTGGATTGAACGGTAGAACAACGCGACAAGGAATGCGGCAAAGGTCGCGAGCACAGGCCGTTGTCATGGTTGTTATGCATCCAAACCCCTAAACCTCTAAACCCCAAACCCCAAACCCCCTCGAGAGGGGGAACCGGGTAGAACCCCAAGTTCCTGGCACATGTTACAGATGCCTGCACGATTCCTGTCTTCGTTGGTGTGCAAAAACGTCTGGAAACGCTAAACCCCGAGCCCTAAACCACTGAAGCTCTGGCACCAGATCGATGACACCCTGGGCTCTGTCCTCGCCGGGCGAGTGACGCTGGGCGGGTCCTCGGGCCGTGAGGCGGGCTTCGGGTTTGGGGTTGTTACTCGTTTGAGAAGTTAAGGCTGTCAAGAGTCGTTGGGCTGAGTTTAGGGCTTAGGACTGAAGGTGTGAGGATGTATAGTTGCAGTTGAGCCTTGAGGGCGTGTGAGTGTATGCTGCGGCGGTTGGGTAGCAGGCCAGCTTTGAATAAATTCGATGGTCTCCCTTTTGAGCTGCCCAAAGCAAGCAGTAGCTTTCAAGTTAAGGTCTAGAGTAGGCTAGAGTCTAAAGACGATGATGGGTAGCCTCATTAGCATGAAATGACGGTAAGAGCATGAACTGCAGAAGCAATTCCAGGAAACTGTTGGCAAACATCGTGGCGCCAGTGAAGAAACACTCATGACACTCATGACGATAACTAGGTGTCGTCGTCGCAGGAACAGCAGCAGGAGGAGGAGTAGCCACTGCTGCTGCTGCTACTACCACTACTACTCCTACTCTTACTGCTACTGCTACTGCTACTGCTACTGCTACTGCTACTGCTACTGCTCCTGCTCCTGCTGCTGCTACTGCTACTGCTACTGCTACTGCTACTGCTACTGCTACTGCTACTGCTACTGCTACTGCTACTGCTACTGCTACTGCTATGCTACTGCTACTGCTACTGCTACTGCTACTGCTACTGCTACTGCTACTGCTACTGCTACTGCTACTGCTACTGCTACTGCTACTGCTACTGCTACTGCTACTACTGCTGCTACTACAACTACTACCACTACTGCTGCTGCTTCTACTGCTGCTGCTACTACTAGTACTACTACTATTACTACTACTACTACTACTACTACTACTACTGCTGCTACTACTACTACTCCTACTCCTTTATCCTTACTCCTACTCCTACTCCTACTCTTGCTCTTGCTCTTGCTCTTGCTCTTGCTCTTGCTCTTACTCTTACTCTTACTCTTACTCTTACTCTTACTGCTTGCTACTGCTACTGCTACTGCTACTGCTACTGCTACTGCTACTGCTACTGCTACTGCTGCTGCTGCTGCTGCTGCTGCTGCTGCTGCTGCTACTGCTACTACTACTACTACTACCACTACTGCTGCTGCTTCTTCTTCTTCTACTATTACGACAGCAACAACAGCAACAACCTCAACAGCAGCAACAACAACAACTCCTCCTACTACTCCAGCAGGAGCTGCTGCTGCTGCTACCAGTACTACGACTACCGTGACTGCTACGACCACTACTAGCACCGAACTGGTGGCCACATCTTCAGGAGCATGTGCAGTCAGTGGTTGTAACGTACATTGTGTTAACACAGCTCGAGTGCCAGTAGGTCTACAGCTTGATGGTAAAGCTCATCGTCATGACGACTCACGTTCATCACCAACACCTTCAGCATCGCCATCACCATGATCACCGTCATCATCGTCATCATCGGCATCATCATAGCCCTAAGCCGGAAACCCTAAACGTAAACCAGAACCTCGAACCCTTAAACCGTACAGGCTGTGATGGTTGAAGTGTCGGTCAAGCAGGTTTGATGTCTCGAGACAGTTGCAGGCCTTCAGGGGTTCCCCGGCATCGTCGGTCTGGAGCGTACTAGACGGTGCTGCATCGTAAGTACCAGTAACCGCTCAGTTTCCTTGTAGCACCATATACGTACCCCAAGACTCAGCTGGATTGATATCTTGACATCAGAGAGCTTCCACGCGAAGCTTGTCATCGAACGCCATGGGCAAACGAGCAGGCCTTGTGCTCCCTTCGACTGGCCGATCTTTCTCAGCAGAAGTGCCCTGGCAAGAGGGATGGGGGATGGGTGTGCAGTTTGTGTTTCCTGCCAATGCTCCAGCACTCACTGACTCGCTCACTCTCTGTCTCTCTTTGTCTCTCTCTCTCTCTCTCTCTCTCTATCTCTCTCTCCCTCCCTCCCTCCCTCCCTCCCTCTCACTCACTCACTCACTGACTCACTCACTCACTCTCTCTCATAAGCAGCAGCTCAATACATGTTTCTCAGTTTCTCTCTCAAACACTCGCTCGTCATCCATTCGCGTGTGCGCTCTGGGGGCAGGAAACCGTTGGTGAGGGCGAGCCCCAAGTGAAGGGAGTTGATGAAGCTTAGGCCTAGCTGCACGATCTCGACAGTCCCTGTAGTCGTACCTACGTTTGAGTCTAGAGTTTCGAGTTTACGGCGTGAAGGGATTGCAGTTTGAAGCGTTTTGGCCGAGGAATTTTCGGTGTTCAGGCTGCTGGCATACTCAGATTTTCCAATTGACTATAGAATCAATAAAAGTTCTTTGTCAAATCCAAGACATCCTATCCTAAATTCTAAACCCTAAACCCTGTCATCCCAGCGGCATGTTACGGCATGTTCCAAGGTCCTCTAAACTCCGACGGTCTGGGGTTCTCGCACTGAGTTCTGGAGTGCCAGACTTTATTGCTTTTGGGGGACCTTTCCCTTAAAGGAGCGTGTATACATGCTGTCTCCGAGGTTACTACAAAGCCCAGTTATACAGTTGTTATGGACGAAGGCTTTGGTTCTCAGGGTTGTCGGTTTTGCAGGTTTGGGGTTCAGGCTCTGGATGGTTTCGGGGTTAAGGTTTCTCAGCTTCTTGCAAAATGAGGCTCCGCAGCTCTTGTCAAGAGCTTCCAGCAGAGGAGCCTGTTTTTTTTTTTTTAGTTTGCGGTTTTGGGCAGTCGGGTTCAGGCGTTAGGGGTCTTGGGATCTTCAGTGAGTTTCGGGATAAAGGCTTAGGGTTTAGGTTTTAGCCTTTCCTGGTATCTGGCTGGCGGTTCTCTCGCCGCAGGATCTGGAGTATAGGGTGGTAGTAGCAGTAGTAGCAGTAGCAGTAGCAGTAGCAGTAGCAGTAGCAGTAGTAGTAGTAGTAGTAGTGGCAGAACTCTGGGGTAGAGCGCTGAAAGGGCTTTTGCTTCAGGCTATCAGCTCGCGATATGCTGCTAGGTACAGATACTAACTCCGTTAAGAGAGAGAGTCGCGCGTATGTGTGTAGGTATGTAGGTATGTACGCATGCACATGCAGCGTCTGATCTTATGATGCCTCGTTCAACAGGGAGATACTTGGAGGATCAGGGGACTTAGTAAGTAGTCCCCTTATTGGGGTTATATGCAATTATAAGTATAGCTTCCTCGTTTACAACCCTAGCTACTAAGTCCCAAGATCCTTTAAGTACAGGGAGCTTCGAGCTTGCCGTAGTCTCTGGGATGTGAGTTGGGGCGAGGTGAGCGCAACTTGGAGAGGAAGACACGTCCAGCCTACACCGGAAACAGACTGAGGTGGCCCAACGGATTCTCTGGGATTTGTGCAAGAGCCACAAGCACTGGTTGGAGTTTGGGTATTTTGAGCTTTTCGGGCTTAAGGCGTTCAGGGAGGGTTGAAGGGGTTTAGGGTCCGCTTTTTCTGTCTTTGACTCCAGGAGCTGATTGCTCTACGCTGGGCTTCCGTGCCCTCGCCGCACGTGCCAGGGTCTAGGTGTTACGATGTTCAGGGTTCAGGGTTTAGGATTCAGGGGTTTAGGGTTAGGGGTTTACGGGGTTTGGGGTTCAGGGTAGAGCTTTGGGGCATAAGGTTTAGAGTTTAGAGGTTCAGAGCGGCAGGATTTTGGAGATCAGTGTCCCGAGTCCCAAACCCGAAGTCCCGAAAAACTCCAAAGGTCTACAAGCTGAGGGTAAGGCACTTTGAGTCAAGGCGATCTGACGGTTGAATGAAATGCTGTCCTACCTTGATCCTTTCCAGGGTGCAGCTATATCATGCTTTACTTGCTTGCCTGGAGCACAGGTCAAACAGACAGCTTCTTCCCTTGTTTAATTGTTTGTCTGGTTGTCTTTCCTCGTTCTGAATCCTCCATCAGAGAAGTCTGCCAGTTTGCATATCAACAAAAAGCCTCCTTGTCCAGGATCCCAACTGATGTTTGCTCTAACTCTATATCATAGCTGGATCGGGTTCGATCGCCACTAAATCTTCAGGCTGCCTTCCAGGATTTCTCAAGTAGATCATGCCCTAATTGCTTTGATGCTCCCTTAAACCCTAAACCCTAAACCCCTAAACCCTAAGCCCCTTTGAAACCCTAAACCCCTAAACCACTAGACCCCTAAACCCTAAACCCTTTTGAAACCCTAAACCCCTAAACCCCTAGACCCCTAGACCCCTAAACCCCTACACCCCTGAACCCCTAAACCCCTACACCCGTAAACCCCTAAACCCCTACACCCCTGAACCCCTAAACCCCTAAACCCCTAAACCCCTAAAGCCCTACACCCGTAAACCCCTAAACTCCTACACCCCTAAACCCCTAAACCCCTAAACCCCTAAAACCCTAAACCCCTAAAACCCTAAACCCCCTTAACCCCTAAACCCCTAAACCCCTAAACCCCTAAACCCCTAAACCCCTTAACCCCTTTGATGCTCCTTGAAGTAAACCACAGTTTGGGCTGAGAAGCGGACGAACCCGAAGCTGCATCTGCTGCTGTTGCTGCTACAAGCAGGGTTTACGGTTTAAGGGCCCGGGGTTTGGGGGTTTAGGGGTTTAAAGTTCAGGGTTTAGGGTTTAGAGTTTAGGTTTAGGGTTTACGAGCGCTGTTTTTTCGAAGGGCTCAGCATGCAGGCCAACCTAGCTCAGCGAGGAGGCCTGTCTGCCATGCAGGGTGGCCGCTGAGGCATCTATATCTTCCGTCTTCACCCGGATCAGGGTTTAGGGTTTAGGGTTTAGCACCGGCGGTTTCTGTGGAAGCTCTGCGCACGAAGCAGAGAATCGAGAAGCTCCGACGGCTGCAGCAGAGTGGCTCCTGGGCCGGGACAACGTGCGTTCTCTGCGCTTGGAGCGTTTCCGTGGCAGCAGCCATTCAGCGACAAGAGAAAGACCGTTAATATAGTATCATTCATCATAACACAGTATAGCATAATCTTTTACTGTATATATGTATATGTGTGTGTATATACATATATATATATATATATATATATATATATTTATACATACATACATACATCTTTGTTTATGCACATCATGTATGTATGTATAGATTTATGTATAAATGTAAGTATGTGAGTAAGCAAGTAAGTATGCATGTATGTAAGTATGTATATATGTATATATGTATACAAATATAAATACATGCCCATATCACAGCATAGTATCACCTAGGACGGTATATTACAAGACTTCGGCCAGTCCCAGATGGAGTCCCCGGGGTCTCAGACGAAAAAGATGTGTTTCTCCGAACCCTGCAGCCTGGGGGGCCTGAAACCCGGTGTACTTTTGCCTGGCCTGGGTCACGGTTTAGGATTCAGGGTTTAAGTTTTAGGGTTTAGGATTCAGGGTTTAAGGCTTAGGGTTTAGGATTCAGGGTTTAAGGTTTAGGGTTTAGGATTCAGGGTTTAAGGTTTAGGGTTTAGAATTCAGGGTTTAAGGTTTAGGATTTCGGGTTCCGGGTTTTAGGTTTACGGTTCAGGGTTTAGGGTTCAGGGTGTAAAGTTCAGGGTTTAGAGTAGAACAGCCCTGCGAACAACACCAATGGGCCAACCGCATCTTTCAAGCCCTAAACCCCTAAACCCTAAACCCCTAAACCCCTAAACCCCTAAACCCCTAAACCCCTAAGCCCCTAAACCCCTAAACCCCTAAACCCCTAAACCCCTAAACCCTAAACCCTTGATGAGGCGGCGCTCAAAGCCACCAGGCTCGCGCCGTGGCTGCAAACACTGGCCGCTGATGCGGCGCAGCTGGGACATGACAGTGACAAGTTTCCTTGGCGTGCTTCTGGTTGGCTCTTTAGACTTTAACTTTTGGGGTTTCTATATGAACTATAATATGGAGGCTAAAAGTTTAACTTTTCGGAGGGGTTCAGAAGTCCGACAAGTTTCCAAAGGGCCAAGTTCACATTTTGTAGATCCGTGTGTTGTAACAGAGCTTATGCTTGTCTTGTTAACAGGTCGTACAAAGTCCTAGGTTTGAGGATTCAGGTTTTATTTTCTATCAGGAGAAGGGTGTTGCCTGCGGAAGATGCGAAGAAGGATATGGCGATGACATATCAGGCTTCTGCCGATCGGTCTTGGGTCCGTGAATGTGATGATCATGGCCCCAAGCCCTAAACGTCAAACATCGCTGCCTTCACCCATACCCGCCATACCCTAAGCCCGAAACACTTAAGCCCCAAACCCTAACCCGAAACCCTAAACCCTAAACAGGACAAACCCTAACCCCTAAACCCGAAGCCCTTTAAACAAAAAAAAGAAGCAAAAACCCTAAGCCCTTACAAAGCCCGAAACCCCCAACATCGAGGCATCAGCTGAGCAGCCGGGGATCGGCCGGAGCGCTTTGCGCCGTCACCTGGGCAGCGGCACGGCTCAGCGAGGCCTTCCCTAGGATTTTTTTTTGCAGGGGCTTCTATGAGGGTCCGCCAATCCTACAAGGATTTAGAGTTTAGGGTTTAGGTTCTGTAGCGGCTTGTGTGCGGGTCCTACAAGGGTTCTTTAACGGTTTCTATGAGGGTCCCCTGTGCGTTCTGTGACAGCTTGTGCTTGGTAGGGGCTTCTATAAAGGTCCTGCAACGGTCCTAGAGAGGCACATGCTTGGCGTTGTAGGGTATCAGGATTAAGGGGTTTATGCTTAGGCTTGAAGGTTACTGGTGTAGCGTTGGTGTGCTTGATTGTGCATGTAGTATTTGCGCTTCCTTGCAGGGAAGAGGCAGTTTTAGCAAGTTCACATGATGCCTCGCTACTTTCCCAACTCTCCTTGTGAATGAGTCCCACTGCGGCACGAGATCAACCTAAAGCCCCAGCTTCAACGGCACAAGTAACGCTAGGTGGAGTCTCCATGGAGAAGTGGAGGTCTGCTCCATATGGACCAAACCTGACCGGGAATAATATTTGCCATGGCTAGTTCACCTAAGGCTGAACATTTCATCACACAACCTCCTCGCCTCAGGCGATAGCTCACAAGCACAAGCATTTCCTGAACCGCAGCCCGTTTGGCTCCTGGCACAGAGTCGCCTTGAAGCTCAAGGTATCATGGCCACATGCAAGCCTCAATTCACGATGGCCGTCGCCAGCAACAGTAACATCTCAGAAGCCCCTTAACCCTAGGCCCTAAATTCTAAACCCTAAACTCTGATCCCAAAAGCAAGCACAGCGGGCCGACACGAACGATGATGCCCCGCCTGGAGTCCAAGGCCAGGATGAAGATGCGGCGCCAAGAGTCGATGATGAGGCAGCAAGTAAGTCGACCGTAATGTACATGCCGCGGCCAGAATCCATGAGGCAGCAAGGGGTTCCATCTAAAACCCTAAACCCTAAAGCCCTAAACTCTGAACCCCAAAACCCTAAACGCCAGAACCTTAAACTCTAAAGCCTAAAACCCTAAACGCCAGAACCTTAAACTCTAAACCCTAAAACCCTAAACCCTAAATGGTAAACTCTAAGACCATAAACCCTAAAGGCTTCGCAGCTTCAGTTTGGGCAGCAGGTTTGTCCTTCGCTGCAGCTTCAGGTCTTCATCGCATAAGGACCCCTATGGGGGGAGGGACTATACTTCCTTAAATTGGCCTTATTAAGTCCTTATTAAAGGTACGGTAATTATTACCCTCCTACCTATGATTATCCAAGGTAATCATTAAGGCCCTTATTATAGAACCCGATTATGGATCCCTTATAGACCCCTTTAAGGATCCCTTTAAAGCGAACCCTAGGTCTCTATCCTTCAGCCCGGGGAGTTTGGAGGAGTCCTCGTTTTCTTGTGGCTCTGTGGCTGGCTTGTGTCGGACTCGGGCCGGGATTGCAGTTTGTGTGGTGCCTTGGGGTTTAGGGCTTAGGGCCATTTACGGGCTTAAGGTCTTAAGTTGCGGTGTGCTTAGGGTATGGGGTGGATGTTCTGGGTTTTTAAGTGTTCGCGGTCAAGGTTTGGGATGTACATCCTGCGTTTCCTGGTCTGAAGCTTTGAAACAACGATAGCCGCGACGTTTGTCGGCAACAGCAGAATCAGTGATGCGATGCATCAACCGGGACAGCTATGAAACCATAGTTCTATGATCCAGTGAACACATCGGCAACAGAAGTGAAGAACGGCAATCAGACTGACTTTAGACCTTTCAACAACCATACTCCCTTCCCCTCGCCCTCCGATGTCCCGCCCTAGAAAGGTAGGTTTCGCCCCCTAAACCCTCAACCCTAAATGACACCCCTTGGCCAGGAAGCTGCGGAGCCCTCAGGAAATCTTGGCTGAGAGCACGGAGAGCAGCCGTGGAGGAGGCTCACGCTGCAGGAGATTCTTGTTGGTTTAGGGTTTAGGGTTTAGGATGTAGGAGATGGCAGGGGATACCCAAAACACCAAACCCTAAACCCTAAAGCCCGGAAGCATGGGCCCTAATCCCAAAGCCCTACACCCTGACCCCTAGTCTTTACACTCAACCACAGTTTTGAGAATTCGCCCTTCAGCCCTCAATCTGTCCGGTACGGACATTTCAAAGGGACCTACGGAATCCAACAAAGCCCTAAAAGGAACCCTTATAACAACCTTTACAGGAACCCTTGGAGGAACCATATATAGGAACCCGAAACAAGCCCGTAAACGAATCGGACGCCATAAGAAACCTTAAACGAACCCTCAGAGGAGGCTCGGGGGTCTGGCCTAAGCATGTTGCTTCGGGAAGCCCCCGGCTGCGTTCGAGAGGGCTCTCCGTCTAAAGTTTCGTGTTGAAGGCTGTGAGTTGAGAGTTTCGGGTTTAAGGCTCAAGGTTCAGGCGTTAGGTTGTAGATCTTAAGTTCATAGGAGTTGAGTTAGTTTGCAAAGCAGCCCCCCAGTTGCAACATCGTGAAATCCCAGGCTTCCGATCCAAAATCCCAAGACCCCCTCCCCCCCCAAACCGTAAATGTTGTAATCAGAGTCTCCGACTTCGATTTCGTTGAAGCCACCATAATCGTAGAATATAGTTTCCCATAGGTTTGGCTTGATCTAAGAACCCAACCTTCAAAAGTTGACATAGATACGATAGAAATCTGCAGAAACTCCGATAAAACACGAATCCCTAAGCCGGTGTAACTTCCTTTGCACACCTTAGCTTTGAAACCCTACAAACAAATCCAGGCCTCACAGCCGAAGCTGCCTTGGGCGTCGTAAAGCACGAAGCGGTGCTCCGGCAGGGGCAGCGCCGCGCGTCGGAGTTACGGAATTGTAATGCGTTCCAGTCTCTATGAGCTATTATGAGCTTTGCAAATGTCATACGTCTACCGATGTTGCGACATATATACTGATAGCTATAAGCGTGTGTATACACATCCCTCCCTCTCTCTCTCTATGTTCGTTATTACATACACCATACGTATATGCATATAGTATCTGTATCAGTATATGCATATGCATATGCACATGTGTATGTGTGTGTGTATGTAGCTGTACGTGTTTGTGCATATGCATATGTGTATGTATGTGTGTGTATGTATGTATGTCTGTATGTAGGTATGTATGTATGTACGTACGTATGTATGTATTTGTGTGTGTAGGTATGCATGCATGCATACATGCATGCCTAGATGGATGGCTGGGTGGGTGCTTGGGTGGGTGGGTGGGCGCGCAGGTGGGTGGGTGTGGATGGATGGATGGATGGATGGATGGATGGATTGCTGGATAGATGGATGGATGAATGGATGGATGGGTAGGTGGATGGATGGATAGATGGATGGATGGATGGATGGATGGATGGATGGATGGATGTGTGTGTGTGTGGGTTATGTGTGTATTTGTTGTCTGTATACATAGCCTATATATACGTATGTATATGTGTATGTATGTATGCACAAATTTCCATACATTGTGTTTATGCATGGACGTATGTATGTATTCAAGAAACTCTGCGTACGTAAGTGTGTCTGTCTGTTTGCCTTCCTGTCTGTCTGTATGTGTGTACGTCGTGCAAAACATGCATACGCACATAAGCACATACATACATACATGCATGCATGCATGCATGCATATATGCATTTTTGTGGGTGCACAAAGCCACCTAAATCCAAGTGCCGTGCTTCTTGGAAGTCTCTAGTCACTGGTCTGCTTCCTTTGAGCTCAAACAAATGAAGGACATTTGATAGCTAAAGACATGTTCCTAGCGGCTCTGTAAAGCTGCACTGTATGTAGGCCCCTGACCCAGAACATCGTGAGAACGTCGGTTCAGGGTTGACGAGATAACTGAGAGACCTTGGGCCTTTATTAGGGTTCCTCATTTTGAATCCTACTAGTTCGGGGGTTAAAGGCCCAGGGTTTCTTAATCAGGTTCCTACATTATGGGGCTTGATGGCTGCAGTTTTTTTGTTGTTCTCTGGGCCTAGGGCTTGGGATTCCCCGAGGTAAGAATCGAAGCCATGAAACGGACAAATCTTCGGGACTAGCACACTGAATATAGGGCCCTTGATTATTATCTATATTATTCTCGGAGTTCTTTTCTATAATCATAGTTTAATGGGCCCCCAAAGCCCTATTCTAATCATCAAGGCCTCTATATAGTGACCAAAAAGCCCCCAAAACCTGAACCGTAAACACATAAACTTTAAACCCTAAACACTAAACCATACACCCTAAACCCTTAAGCCCCAGACCCTAAACATAAGCCTTAAACACTCACTAAACCCTAAACCATAAAGCCTAAACCCTTGAACCCTAGACTTCGAAGCCCTTCCAGGCTACTTGGAGAAGACCACGCCCTACGTGCAGAAGGGCTTGCCTCCTCCAGTAGATGCCGGGCTCATGAAGCCTTAAGCCTAGAAATGGGGTTTCCGAAAAAAGGGGGGGGGCCCTAATATAGTACCCAACAAAAGGATCCTTATTACAAGGCCCCAGAGTAAGGTACCTCTGATTTTCGGAAGCTCCCATATGGGGGTTTCAACAATTAGAATAGGGGTTCCTTTAAAGGGATCCTTAAAGGGGTCTCTAAGGGATCTACAATAGGGGCATCTCATGTAGGGGCTTCAATAATTAGAGAGCGATCGTTCAAAGTGTTCCTAGAAGGGTTACTCCATGGTTCAACAGAGGGGCCGTAATGAGTAGAACCGTGGCGGAAGGGGATAACATACGACCAGTGGGTAGGGACTCGAACGTCGTTGTATCTTTTCATTCCGGCCTCTACAGTAGAGCGTGCAGGCCTGCGTTTTTTTAAATCCCAAACCCTAGGCGCGCGGGGCGCTGCAGGGCTTAGGCAGTCCAGGTCAGTCAGGGTTAGCGAAAAGTTCGCATCCGTAAGCGAGGGAGTCCTTTTGGATTCCGTATCTCAGTTCGGGGCGATATCTTGGAAAGTATATGAGACCGAGGAGCGTCTCGGGCCTTTTGAACTATGACAGGGTTAGCCGCGGTCACACGCTAAGCCCTCAG